GCCTGCCTTCCAGTGTCTGATAAGGACCATGCTGCCCCTGGCCCTGCACTTCCAGCCCCATTGGTATCTTTTCTTCTGGGCACTAAGCTAAGGAGGCAGGTGGCAAAGTCACCATCTCCTGATCATGTGCAGGGATCCTGCTGTCTAAGCAGCCTCTCAAAGGCTGTCTATCTCCTGCTCTTTACTCCTGTTGCAGAGAAGTGGCTGAGCTGAATTGGCTTCTGGTGACCTGCTGGCCTGAGGCAGGCACTGTCATTCCAGAGACAGTGCTCCTTGGCCATTCCCCTAGGGTATATACATGGGAAGGAAAATGATGAGCCAAGTTCAGCCAGGTGGTATGTGGTAGAGCTGGACCTCAGACTGCAATCCTTATTCAGTCATGTTTTCTCCACTCTGTGACTCCAGCTCTCTGACCTTGGTTTTGGTTGGTTCCAGGTGTGTCCGAATGCATCATCATGGGAATCCCAATGAACATCGGAACTGGGCTCTTCAAGCTGTTACACAAGGCCAACAGGGACCCAAAACCACCCAGGAGGCCCCTGATCTTCGACACAAATGAATTCCACATCCCTCTTGTCACATAATTTATAGCAGGAGGTCATCATTCCTGATCTTGGCTCCTTGTCCTGTCTGTTGCTGAATTGAAGAACTTTGTATTCCTGATTGACCTTAAATGGAGCACAGAGTTAGACAGACTATGGCCTCAGCAGGAACTCCTTGGAAGGGGAACTGGGAATCAGCTTGTAACCTAACTTGTGGGGCCTCGGGGTGACTATTCAGTCTTCTCAGTGCCCATTTCACCACACTGTGTTCCTGCAGAGGACCCTAAGGTGTGCCAGGTCTAGGCCCACAGAGGTCAGGACACAGTCCTGGTTTCCCACTCATCAGGCTTGATTTGCCACTGATATGCTCATGTAAATAAATTGCTGTTATTTATTTGTTCTATCTTAAGAGATATACAGTGTTTGTTGTTATTTTACTTTGAAACCAGAAACTGTAGAACCAAGAACACCAGCTTCAAAGCATTCCTGGAAAAGTACATAGGATGTGAGGTCCAGGATGAGATGGCTAGTCCCTGGCTAGGCACTGTCTATTTGAATTATTTTTTTAAAGGTAGATTTTTTATTTATTATTTTTATTTATTTATATGTATACAGTTTTCTGCCTGCATGTGTCCCTGCAGCCCAGAAGAGGGCATCATTACAGATGGTTGTGAGCCATCATGTGGTTGCTGGGAATTGAACTCAGGACCTCTGGAAGAGCAGTCAGTGCTCATAACCTCTGAGCCATCTTTCCAGCCTGTCTATTTGAATTTAAGTGCCTTAAAAGCAAAGGGAATGGAAACTTCTACTTTCCTAGTAATGTGAGTCACTTTTGAAGGCTCTGTAGCCTGTGGCTCCCAAGTGAAGACTGTACATCATTAACAGTCCTGAGGAAGAAGAGGGGTGGTTCCTCTAAAGTCTCTTTTGGACAGAGGTCCTGGGCAGGACCTCTTAGAGCAACACTTTGCTTGTCTACACCCAGTCCTATAACAAATCTGGGCCTTGGGCAGTATAAAGGCATTTGTGAGGAATGTAAATGTTTGGATGGGAGTATCCTTTGTGATTCAATAGCCAACCAGGTTTGGAATGGATTAGCTTGATTTAATCTCTGGTGAAGGAAGTGGAGTGTCTCTGATGCCTTCTGTCTAGTTCCTTGAAGGGAGCAGTGGGGTTTAGCCTCAGATCCTGACACTTCCTGCAGGGGCAGCATCACTCAGGAAATGGTAGAGTTTGTCATAGGCACAGTTCTATGCTGGCAGCAGTGGATATTACTCAGTAGTTCACATGGTCATACACAATTTCATCTATTCTGTATGTGGTCCTAAGGAAAGGCATGAATAGGGTCCTCAGATATAAAACATCACTTCACCTTCCCCTCCACCTCCCTAAGAGGAAAGACTGGTAGGGAGAATGGTAAGTTCTTTTCAATACAAAGGATTGGCAGGTGAGACCTTGGAGGTAGGGTAAGTTTCTGTTTTGTGTGTTAGGACAGGGTCTCATGGCTCCCAAGCTGTCTTCACACTGGCTTTTCAGGTTTACCTTTAGCTTAGATCATCCAGCTTCCACTTCACAAGTGCTAAGATTACAGGTGGGGCCAACTAGGCCAGTGGGGAAAGCATTAGGCATCGACCCAGGACTTGCTACATGCTAGGAAGTCACTCTCCCAACTGAGGTGAGTCTCAGGTGTTGTCCTTATTTTCCCACTATCCTTTCTGTTCCCCTAAGAGGCAGAATCTCACTGTAACTCAGGCCTGAAACTAATCCTGCTTTGGTGTCTTTGGTGCAGAGTGGAGAGAACCACATTCAGCCTGGGGCTTTTTCTCATGGTGGATCCACTATTTCAGTTTCCTCTGCCAATGGATCATCACACTTTTATCAGCTCCCTGATGGCTGCATTCTCTATCTGCTAAGGACTCCTGGGGCAATTTTCTAAAGCTAAGCATGTAGCTTCCATGACTGTACCATTATCCTAAATCCCACACCGTAACCAGTCCTGTGAGTTCTTCCTGAATGTGCTTTCAAACACTTATACTTGGGGAAGGTGATCTTTTCCTCACCTACATTCACCCTGACATGGAGTCTTGATATTTAATTGCTCATTTTGATAAATTTTGAGTAAGAAATGAGACACATTCCTGGGCAATCGATCTGGAAAGGGAACCTGGGCTTCTGGTCAGTTCAGGGAGAACCAGTTAGCAGGGTGGCAAAGGCTGTTCCCCATGACATCAGCAGTCCCTTCTCTGGACATTCTATTGTATCCTGGAGAGCTCTTGGCATCCCCTGTGATGTCACCAGTGTAGAGACACCAACATCACTTAGGGCATTCCTTCAGTGTCTGTAGGGTACACCATAGACATGTTGTCAAGACTGAGGAGTCTACTTGGGAGAGAGAATTGAGAACATCCAGAGTCCAGAGAGAGACGGAAGGAAGCTGGCATCCAGGCTCAGAGGAAAACAGGAACATATAAGTGGTTCTGGCAAAGGCACAGTGAGTGCTGGGCAGGAGATGGGGGGCTTCCTGGAGGAGGTGGGCTTGAGCTGGGTCTTCCAATAATGGGGCAGAAGAGCTGGAGCCTCTGAGAAGCAAATGGACCTCATTGTTGACAGGAAGCAGAGACACAGAGACAGGAAAGGGCCAGACAGGAAAGATATGATCCTGAGTACCTCTCTTTCCTAAGAGCTACTTCTTCCACTTAAGCTCTGTTTCTGAGAGTCACAGGAATCTCTCCACAGGGTCGGTTCACACTTTGAACAGTTGTCCTCTAGCGGGAGGTTGGGAACTCTTAGTAGGGGCTTCCCTGGAAGAAGTCACTTCAGCTGTGCCTCTGAGCAGTAAAGCCTAGCCTAGGCCTACTTCTGGCCTAGCTCCTTGAGCCTATGGGCAGCTTCCTGGTCTGCTGCCATGGAAACAGCTTCTGCCTCCCACCTCCACAGATTGAGCTTCCCCACCTGCCTTCTCTGCTGAGATGGAATGAGCCCTAATAAACACCCCACTCCCAGTTGTTTCTGTCAGGGATCATGGTGAAGTCACACAAAACAAGGAACTTTTGTAGGAACTGACCCCATCACACTGAAAGCTCCAGGCTCTGACTACTTCACAGGTAACATCTAAATTCTACTAAACTGTAGAGAAGAGTTAATGCCCTTTTTAAAAAAAAGACAGTCTGCTATGTGACTCTAACTGGCCTAGGGCTCAACATCACAGTCATCCTCTTGTCTCTGACTCCTATGTGCCGGGGTTACAGGCTTGCTCCATTGTGACCCACTCAGTACTCCCTTTTCAATGAAAGCTGCTTCCAAACAGAAAAGAAAAGTGTCTCAATTCTAGTTTTGTTTTCCAAGAGGTATGCAACAATGTCTGGCTTTGCATCAGTTCTTTTTGAGGGTAGGTTAGCATTGTTTACAATATTAAGAAAACCAAATAAAATAGGTCCACTTTCAGTTTTTAACATAGATATGGAAGTTATAAGTAAACCTAACCATATATTAATGTGCTCCCAAGAAAACAATATTAGGAAATATAAAATCTAGCAATGTGACTTATCACTTAGAAAGACTAAAAGAGAAAAATCACATGATTACGTCAATAGATACAAGTGAAGCATTTGATAAAAATGTTCTAAGGAAACTAAGAGCAGATGGGAGCTTCCAGCATCTGGTGAAGTCTGTATGATAAATGTTAGTATCAATCATCTTTTTCTAAGTACATTATACATTCCTTTCACAGATTAAGAAAACATCTTCGCAAATTACAGAGGTCCTGCTACTGTAATAATGCAATTGATAAGTCAATCAATTGACTAATAAATCAAATGAAATATGTATGAATGAGAAAGGGACATAGAAACAAGACACTGTTTTTTGTTTGTTTTTAGGAAATGCAAGACTTTATTTCAGCTTATGTGCTATAGTCCATCACTGAGGGAAGTCAGGGCAGGAACAAAAGCGTGGACTGAAGCAGGAACCAGGGAGGAATGCTGTTTGGTGGCTTGCTCAGCTAGCTTCCTTACACAGCCCACGATGGGCTAGGCTCCCCTAAGTCAGTGGAAATCAAGATGTCCCACACAGGCATTCCAAAGGGCAGTTTGATCCATTCAGGCTCTCAATTGAGATTCTCATCTCCATTGTTGCTGGACTGTTTCAAGTGGACAAATACTAGGACTTTCCATTCCTTGTCAGCATGACACACATCACCTGAATGCCATAATCATTTATTTCTTTTTCTCCATATTCTTATGTTAATATCATAATATGAAACATAGTATATGCTTAAAAAAACCCACAAACTTTAAAACTTATATTTTGAAAGTCCAAGGTCCCTTAGGAAAAAAGTCTCTTAATTTGGTCTGGTAAAACAAACCAAAAAATTACTTATTTTCTTATTCCACAATGAAGGAATGGAGCACAGAAATATTCAGATGGAACATTACCAAAATCCAGCATTTTTTTTTTTTTTTTTTTTTTTTTTTTTTTTTTTTGAGACAGGGTTTCTCTATGTAGCTTTGCGCCCTATCCTGGAACTCACTCGACAGACCAGGCTGGCCTCGAACTCACAGAGATCCGCCTGGCTTTATTAATTAAATTCCTAAAGCCCAGTATCTAGCATCTGATACACATGTGTAGCCAGAAGTTTCTCTGGTCCTGCCCAGCTCCAAGGTCCTGAAGCTACTTATAAAATAATCACTCAGAGGCTTAATATTAATTATATATTATATGGCCTATGGCTCAGGCTTCTTACTAGCTAGCTCTTATAATTTAAGTCAACCCATAACTATTTTTTTTTTTGCTTTTTTGAGACAGGGTTTCTCAATATAGTTTTGGTGCCTTTCCTGGATCTCACTCTGTAGACTAGGCTGGCCTCGAACTCAGATATGCACCTCACTCTGCCTCCCGAGTGGTGGGATTAAAGGCATGCACCACCACCACTTGGCTCAACCCATAACTATTAATCTATGTATCACAACACGTTCCTTGGCTTTACCTGCTTCCCATTACAAGTTGCTCTTTGGGCATCTGGCTCAAGTCTCTCCTGCCTCTCCTTTCTCTTTTTTCTCTCTCTCTTGAATTTTCCTGCCTGGCTCCATCCTGCTCTGCCATTGGCCATTCTTCCCTCTCCAGATCCACTACTTGCAACACATGCAGTGAAGCTTTTCTTAGGGTTAGTCTGGCTCCACTCCATATCTGTGCTTCCCCTCAGTAGATGGACCATGGTCTTGCCATCTGCAGTATTCTGTGGTACTATTTTTACTTCCTCTTCCACAAGGTTCCCTATATTCTGAGGGGAGGAGTCTGATTAGAGAGGTTCTGTTTAACGTTGAGTGTTCAAGATCTCTTCCTCTCTGCATATTGTTTAGCTGAGGGTCTCTGTATTTGTTCCCATTCTGCTGCAGGAGGAAGCTGCTCCTATGATGGATGGCTGAGAAATGAATTGTCTATGAGTATAGCATGATGTTGTTAGGAATCATTTTATTGCTATGTTCCTTAAGCTGAACATAGCTGAACATATTTGGTTTTCCCCATGGGCTCTAGCCTATCTAGTCTTAGGTTCTTGGCCAGCCAAGCAGTGCTGGGTATGCCTTCCCTGTCAGGGAGTGGGCCTTTAATCAAGTCAGGTACTGGTTGATTACTCCCACAGGCTTTGTTCCACTACTGCACCAGCATATCTTGGATGCGGTTACTATTGTAGCTGGGTTGGTGTTTACCTTTCTCCTTTGATAGTGAGCTGAATACCTTCCATCATCATGAAATCTAGTCCATAAGTGGTGAGGGCTCTAGGGAGACACCAGCTTGACTTCTCCATGTTCAATGAGTTGTGTCATTATCATCTTCAGGAACAGCAACTTCCTGTCAGTTTATGGGGAGCAACCAATAGCCTTGCAATACTTTGGGTTGTTTGGGATCACCATTGGACATCTTTCACCTACAACTTGACTAGATGTAACCCATTGCCAGTACTGCAAGCTTCATTTGGCAAACAGAGATATCCAGTTGGGTCTCTGTCTCCTACACTCTGGTTTCTGTTGGTTTTGTTTTTGTTTATTTGTGCTTTCTTTTCTGTGTGGGGGTATTTCATCTATATCCCCTTCATATATGTATATATTTTAGAGTGGTTCTACTCTATTACATCTCCATAAGATCCCTCAAATGGCCCTTAATTTTACCTCTCCCTCCCTATATTTATTTGCTCCTTCTTCTCTCTCTCTCCTCACTTGACCATCATATTCCAGACTTCATTCCTCATCCATCCATAACAATCTATTCTCTTCCCCCTTTATAGAGATCTGTACCTCCCCCCCACCCAGTCCCTTACTCTATACCTAACCTGTGGCTATACAGATTGTAGCTTACTTATCTTTGACTTAATAGCTAACATCCATATATAAGTGAAAACATACCATATTTGTCTTTCCGGGTATCTTATCTCACTAAGGATGGTTTTTTTCTAGCTCCATGCATTTACCCATGAATTTCATGATTTCCTTTTTAACTGCTGAGTAATAGCCCATTGTATAAATATACCCCATTTTCTTTATATATTCATCTGTTGAATACTTAGGATGTCTCCAATTTCTGGCTATCATAAATAGAGCATAAATGAACATGGTTGAGAAAGAAAGAGAACACTTACTGTGTCTCTGTTGTAGGTGAAGCATCCTTTGGGTATATGCCAAGAGCAGTATACTGTGTCTTGATCGATTTCCAGTTTCCAAGGAACAGCTGCATGTATTTCCATAGTGGTTGTACAAGTTTGCATTCCCACCAGCAATGGATGAGTGTTTCCTTTGCTCCCCATCCTCGACAACATTAGCTGCCATTTGTTTTATTAATATTATCTATTCTAAGTCATGTAACATGAAATCTCAAAACAGTTTTGATTAACATTGCCCTAAAGACTAAGGATACTACACATTTTTAAGTGTTTCCTAGACACTTGAATTTCTGCTAGTGAAACATTTCTGTTTAGATCTATACTTAGTTTTTAAATGTGTTATTTTCTTCATATACAGTTTTTTTAGTTCTATATATATTTTGGATATTAGACCTCTATTGGATATGTAGTTGATGAAAAAAAACCCTTTGCCCATTTTGTAGGCTGCCATTTGAAACAAACACTATTAGTGGCAGAAAAGATAATGCCATGTGGGTGAACCCAGAAGTTGACAGACACATTGTGATTAACAGAATTCATTAATGTTATTGAATAAAATGTTCTTATATAATAATTTTTACAATAATAGTTTAATGAACATACTTCAACATATTTTACTTGTTCTTTGAGAAATGCATAAAATGCATTTTGAAAATATTTGCCACCCAATTCCTCCCATTTTGTCATCCCAAGTCTGCCCCTACATCTATGATGATCAATTTATAGCTTCTTCATTACATTAATTTTTAATAACCCCAGGGGCAGACTCTTAAAGAAAACTGATCCTCCATTTGTCAGAAGCATTACTGGTCCAAAGCTCATCAGTTAGGAGTAGGGGC